TTTATGTTATCTGATTCCAGATATTTTACTTGTAAATGATTAATAAGTTCTGAAAGAATTTTACTTGTTTCAATTTACATTTACATTCCTCAATGTAGGAAGCTCCATCAGACATAAGTTCGGCCTACCTAGCCAGCATTTAGTAGAATATAATTTAGAAAATGTATGTATAGTACAATATTTCTGACACATCACTCTGTTATATTGCCTCTAGATTTTAGTTTATGAATACTTACTTAGAACAAAATCAGTCCAATGTTACTGAAGCCATTGCATAACATAAAAGTTTGTTACCTAGAAAATCAAGACTTAGAGAAGCAGGATCTTTTAAAAAAATGTTCTGTTTGCAGAAAAGCTCATTCAAAACATTTGTGAATACGTTTGCTGTGGTATGAGCAAAGAACTTAAATATCGATTTCTGCAGTCATCACTTCTTTGACAACCTGAGTGTTTTACTCTCTGTGCCCTATACTCTGTCGAGACGACCTCTCTTATTTATTTTCTTTGGAAAAAGCTGGATAGGCCATTACAAGAGTTTCGTTATGGATGTTGTAACAAAAGTTTTAGAGGAAGCAGCAAAGCATGCTGAACAATTTAAAAGTATTCACGTAGAAAAACATCTTGAACTAGAATATGATTTAGGAACATTGCTGGCTGTAGACACAAACGATTTAGACTTACGAAAAATAAGGTTTGTGGCTTGCATAGGTTATGGTGTGGAATGGAATTTCATATATAGATTCTGTATAACACTAAGCAAAGGATGTAAAACACATGATAATACAAATAGAGTAATAAGTTCCAATATTAGTGCAAGAATATAGTTGTAAGAACCGCCTGCACAAATCTTGTAAGAGTATTTTACAATACAGATGTCCACAAAATAAAGATACAACCTTCTTGTGCCTAAAACTAACCTCTGTAAATATCGAAAAGAAGTTTACTATACTGGAATTGAGCTATTCAGTACTATTGCCCCCATCTGAATCAAGATGTAAAGAGCATCTCCTGTCTCACTCCTACTCCACAGAAGAATTTACCCCAAGTAAAAATTCTCATCTATTATAAATACATATGAGAAATAATTATGATTCTTTCTTGTGTAATTATTTTTGCTTTAATAGTATAGTGGACTGTAAATCACTGTCACAACAACGAATTTATATAGGTTTTAGAAACAAATATTCTATTTGTGCTATGACATGTTCTACATCCTTGACTTAGGCCTATGAAGTATTTGTTGAACACAAATAAATTTTGTTCTGTCATGAAAACCTTTCATTTATGAATATTTACAGCAAAACCTCAATTATGTAAATACAATTTGACCCTTCATGCAGTTCTATCAGTGAAGGGTTTTGGCTTGTATTGAGAATTAATGGTTGTGGTAGATTATTTATATACATATATGAGGAAAAGTAGAGTATAAAATATTGAACCTTAAGGAACTGACTGAATGTAGTGGTCCAGTGGTGAACACTTTTGTTTCATATTCAGGATATCATAGGTTAAAATTCTGATTGGGGTTTTCCATGGCTTTCCTCAGTCTCTCCAGGAAAATTTGAGGATAGTACCTTAAATTAGGTCAAGATTGCTTTCTTTCCCATCCTTTCCAATTCATTATTCACTATCGTCATCTCATTTGACACTATATAGTCTGAGGTACTGAAAAAAGTGGTGTTAAATAAATTATGAATAAATAATATTGTGTAACTGCATGTTTTACAGTACCCCTGAGTAACAATCTGAACTTTGCAGTTTAAGTTCTGTTTTCAAAACTGCTTAGCTTTACCATGAATTCTTTGAAAGTTTAGTTTTGATAGTAATACATATGTCATGAAACACACAATCAGATGCTTTAGCAAGGTCACAAAGTAACCATCAATGTACATTTTGTTGTTAGGGGTACAAAACTTTTCAACTGTGGTAGTACATTTATATAATGCATACTTAATTGCATATGTAAAATATTGTTTCAGATCTAAATCAGACAGAGACCAGTATTTCAAAGATCTAGCACGGGACAACACTCAGCTTCTTTTGAATAAGATTTGGGAATTGCCAACAGAGAGAGTGGAAGAAGCAGTAGTTGCAAAACTTCCAGCACCAACATTTGTATTGCCCAGGGAGAAACCACTTCCAAAACAAAAGCCATTGACAAAGTGGCAGAAATATGCCCAGGAGAAAGGAATAATGAAAACCAAAAAATCAAAACTGGCTTGGGATGGAACACTGCAGGTAAGCTCAAGAATAATTTTTAGCCACTTGTCATCTGTTGGAGTATATTGTAAAGTGAATGATCTGAAGCTTTCACAGTGACTAAGTATAATGAATTTGTCTCGAATACCAGCTGTCAGGTGGTTGAATGGAGAAAACGCCAACGTCCTCAGGGTACTGAAGTACCCAGAATCCTGAGGATGAGGAAAAAGATAGTTTTGAAAACATTGGTGTTTTCTCCGTTCAACCACCTGACACAGCCGGTATCTCCAGAAGAATTAATAATGTATTTTTGTGTGATGTTACCCCTTTATTACATCACATGAGTAGAGTAGAGTACATAAGATTGTGACATTATATATTTATGTATTGTTCGACCTCGGCAAACTGGCAGCTTTCACCCTCATGAAAATGCAGCCATTCTGCATGTGTAGGTGGAAAGATAATTTCTCATTTCTTTTTACAGGGTTCAAGCAGTTGTTTCAGTCCACACTACTCTCATATTACAAACTGAAGGACTTTGGTTTCCATGCTTCCTGTTTCCCATTTAGATGTCATGATTAAACATCAGTTGATGCTCCACTCAGTTTCATATTACTTTCATTTTTCAGAAATGGGTGCCTCGATATGGTTTCAAGCGGGCAGCAGCTGAGGAGGAAAAGAACTGGTTGCTTCCAGTACCAGACAGAGGAGATCCTAATGAGGATCAGTTCACCAAGAAGTCCAAAATTAAGAGTGAAAATGTTGCAAAGAATGAATTTCAGAGGCTTAGAAATTTGGCAAAAGCAAAAAATGTCAAGATCCCAAGAGTTGGATTTCTTTCAGTCGATAAACTTAATTCCAAACAGGTCACGAGTTTTGTGCTTATTATCATTTCAAGAATGTTATCTAGTGTCCTGTCATAAATACCCAGACATGATATAAACTGAACACACTACATCTGTGATCTCATATTTGTCTTAAATTAAATATATCCTTTTCATGCAGCTATGAACTCTTCTGTTTAAAGCGGAGCTACATCACCATGTAAACTTATACCCAATTTCATTGCTGCATTTTTATAAATTTTAGTTATTTTAATACTTTCATGTTATAGATTTAAAGTGTTCAGGGATTAAAGAACATTTAGGTAATTAATCTAACATAGCGTAAAAAACTGAAATTGTTTATTGCTGCTGTTCTGAGTAAGTAAATGTTTGTTAGGTGGCTGATCACTTATTTGTTTATTTAAAAATTACTTTTCATCTGCATTGGTTGTACAGAGTCAAATGGTAGATTGGTTAAAGAATGCTGAATTAGTCGTGGCCCATTTTAGGGTATTGTCTCAGAGTTTGCATGAAGCAAGTTGATGAAAACCCTAACAATTTTAAACTCAAAAATCCCAGAGTTCTTTTAATAATTCTGTTGCTATGGCATACTAAATGCACTTTTTTTGTCTTTCCAAAGCTGGGAGAAGTTGTGTCAGTAGCCAAGGCCTCAACTGCTTCCCTGGGCAAGTTTCAGGGGAATCTTCCAAAGGAGAAGCGAGCAAAGAACATTGGACCTCTGCTTCCAAGTGGCAGGAAGAGGAAACTAGCACCCCCAACTCCCGTGCAAGAAAGGAAATCAAATTTGGACATCCTTGACAGTATCCTTAACAAGAAGCCCAAGTTAGATATTGAGAAGGCAGTAAATCGGTCACTGAACACTGAACAGCAAGAGTAAGGAACTTAGTTTATTACATATACTTTTCTGAGAATACTGTCTTTCCTTTAGAGGTCCGTGTTCAATCTGTGGGATGTATGGTGGCACAGTGTTACTAGGGCATAATTAATTTTTCCCTGCCAATCCAATCAAATCCACAAAGTAAATAAACACTGATATAATGTGTGGATACTGTTTTCTGTTATTTGCAGGCAATCTGAGGGAACGAAAAGTCAGAAGAAGGGAGGAAAGAGAAGAAAAGGTGGGAAGAAAGGAAAAGGTGCTGGGAAGAGGACAGGAACCAAACCCAAGGGTGGAAAGGGTATCAGAAAACCACGTGAAAAGACAGGACGCAAAAGACGTTGATGCATATCTGCTGATATGATGATGCCTGTACTCACTGAAATTATATAAACCATGTGAAAAAAGTTAATGAAGAGATGTTTCTTGTTTTGGATTACTGGTTAAATTGATTGAAAATAATAGGAATTTAAAAGGTAAACATGTCCGCATCCCATACAGATCCATTTACATCTGTCATCCCTTCTTCATGAATTGGGGGACAACAATTACTTGATCCAAATATCTAACCTTAATTTGACTATCCTAACAATACTAGCATTTTGTTTTAGAACATTTTAATTTATGTTCTATCATAATATATAACACTACGTATCATAAGAATACAAAGTGAAAAGTAAGATGGTGATGAAACTTGAGAAGATTCAGACTGGTCCACTTTCAATCTTTCATCCTGTTGTTAGAAGTAATACCTGTTTATACTGGTCATCAGTTGGTAGTTCTTGTAAAGGACCTTCTAAAATTGTCACAGAATGTGAAGCATGTATTGAGGAAATTATTTAAATTGTTTTGTACAGTAACATCATCAAAGTAAAGGTTGCAATGCTGATACCCACCTTCTGCAGATTCATACATCTGTGAAATAGATAATTATAAAAATGTGTCATTAAAATCTCCTGAGCATGTTGGCGGGCATAATTTTTTCTCTGAAACTTTGTGATTTTCTTCAGCTGCACTAGAAGAATGAAAATTGTCACATTCCCTCCATGTTGTCTTTTTGCTGAGAGATCATGGAACTGTTTGATTCAGTCATGTTAGTTACATTATAATTTTCCATTTCTTGAAGCAGATTAAAAGTTAAGTGCACATAATGTTCTTTATTTGTAGGTTATGTAGCTATGCTGTCAGTACCAGAAGCTGAGAGTAGTCAATCTAGACTGTGATTAGGGCCTAATGAATAATGAATTGGAAATGCCATGGTGTAATTTAAGGAACTGTCCCCACATTTGCCTGAAGGGACTGTGTAAAACCACGAAGACCTACCAGGACACCATATGTAAGAAGTGGGTGTGTCTGTGACTTTGTACCAATGAACACTAATTACAAAATTTTATATTTTATTGCGAAAATAGCTGAGCTGTGAATCGCTTGTAGAAGAAGTGTGTCGTAGAGTAGATAATATTGTGCTGTTAAAAACGTTTTAGAATATCACATGTACTTATCTTATATAAGAATTATTAAGAAATCTGTGATACTGCCCTCCACTCTCTCCATTTTAGTTTTGATTAAATTGATCAATGCAGGTGGACATCGTGGTCTCTTACAGTTGAACAAAGTTTGAGGTAAGGGATTCGTATTTATTATTATTGTTCATCACATTTAATGTTTTCATCTGCAATTGTGGAAAAGGAGACAGGTAAATGTTCTACAGATGAAGTGACTCCATCAGTAAAGATAGAGGATAATATAATAAAGAATCCTAAACTCATAGCAAATTCTTTCAATACTTACTTCTTAACAAGTATAGAAAGCATTAACAATGACACTACAACCATAACAACAGAAGACGCATCAAAGTACCTTGCTGAACTAATCCCTAAAACCTTTCCAAATTTAAGTCTTATGCCCACAATAACAAATTAAATTAAAAGTATAATAAATTCTCTCAAATCAGAAAATACATGCAGTTATGATGAAATATCTACAAAGTCACTAAAAAGCTGCACAGACCACATTAGTGCTCCTCTACGTTATCTGTGCAATCAATCAATGGCAGTAGGAGCTTTCCCAGAATGACTCAAATATTCAAAAGTTAAACCTCTGTATAGAAAAAAGGTGAAAAATCTTGCAAGTCTAATTACAGACCAATTTAATTACTAACAGCATTCTCTAAAATATTTGAAAAAGTTATGTGTAAGAGAATAAGTGATTTCTTAAACTCCGTCTTTGCAGGTGAACAATTTTGATTTAGAAAAAAATCTCAACTGACAAAACCCTGTTCAGTTTTACAGATGAAATCTTAAGTGCACTAAATAATAAAGCGTATGTTGGTAGAATATCCTGTGATTTGATTGTGCAAATCATGAATTATTACTATCAAAACTAAATTTTTATGGCATTCGAAATATAGCTGGTCAGTGGTTTAAATCATACCTTCATGACAGAGAGCAAGAACTAGAAATAATATCAAATTCAAATGATAGCACCTACTTAAATTGGGGCATTGTTAAACATGGAATACTTCAAGTATCAATACTTGGTCCTCTGCTTTTTCTTGTATATATCAATGATCTGCCCCCAACTATCAACTCTCATTCTAAACCTATACTCTTTCCTGATGATACTAATCTTTTTATTTCACATCCAAAAATTGCCTGTTTTCAAAATTGCATAAATGATGTCTTTGCTAGATTGAACAAATAAATTAAAGCCAATAAACCCACATAAAATTTGACAAAATAAATTTCATGAAATTTTGTACTATCAACAGAACTTTAGTAAATCTAAACATAGGGTATGATGATGAAATAATTGAGGAAATAGAAACGACTAAATTGCTTGGCCTACAAATTGACACTAAATTGAACTGGAAAACACATATTCAATACATTATCCCTAAAATAAGCTCGGCATGTTTTGCTATGAGGACAGAAAAAATCTCTCAACAGAAAAGGCTCTATTTAGTTTCACTAATGAAATTGTATGTGCCCTTAACAATAAAATGCATGTGGGTGGAATATCTTGTGACCTAGCCAAGGCATTTGATTGTGTAAACCATGAAATAATATTAATGTTAAGTATTAATGGTTATGGTTTCTCATCATAATTATTTTGCTGTAATACAGTAGTTCCAAAAATCTGTAAATAAATGTTATAACTATGTATTTACATTTGTACTAGAAACAAGTATTGTATTTGTGCTATGACCTGCTCTACATCCTTGACTTAGGGTTATGAAGGATCTACGGAATATAAATAAATTCTATTCTACACATTTAATGCCTGATAGAAATTATCTTTCTATGAGACACTTGTATAGCGAAATAAGTAATTGCTAAGTTTATTTCTCCACTGTGATAATCAAGAAAATATAAGTGTAAAAAAACTAAGAAAATCAAATTCAGCGGGAATATTTGAAGTTCGCGGGTTGAGGGAGGAGTGTAAGTCACAAAAGTGTTTGTTTTAAACAACAATGCTTGTAAACATTCATGACATTTGTATTGCTGTTTTGTAAAACTACATGATTTGTGTACTAAACATACGGTAAAAATTATGGTCAATATAAATTTGAATCTCTTGTTCTCTAAAAAGTTGTTTGAAGCGGGAAGAACAATCTCCATGGTAACTTACGTCACACGTTGTCCTCCGTCGCCATATTGCTGATTGTAATAATTCTGCTCCGTATTTCAAATTGACTAGTGGTTAAATATAATTTTATGGCCAAGTGAGTCACTTATAAATAAGTGTAATTTATAAACAGTGTATTATATTAGCTTTTTTTTGCAGTTTTGTGTCAAAATGAGTTACGGAAGGCCGCCTCCTAGAATAGACGGTATGATATCTTTGAAAGTGGGTAATTTGACTTACCGAACAACACCAGAAGATTTGCGCCGTGTTTTCGAAAAATTTGGCAGTGTGGGTGATATTTATATTCCAAAGGACAGATTCTCTCGAGAGAGCAGAGGATTTGCTTTTGTGAGGTTAGTTATTTTTTAATGTTTTAATTTCTTATTTGATTTTGATGGTTGTTACGAAAAGCAGGAAGCAGAAATACCGTATTCAAGTGAACATTTGTATTTAACATTGAACGCAAGTGTGAATTTGTGGTCTGAAAATGTACTACAAATATAGGTATGGTTATTAGAGTACTATAGGTTAGGTATTTTATTAATTTGTTTTATTCGCAGATACTGTTCTAAGTTATTTTCATTGTGGAAGTGTGCATACAACAAATTAATGTAGTTGCTACCTTCACTACTGTAGTTCTATATTCATCCGCGTCTTTCTCTTTTGTCCCATCCTCCATTTTGATGTCATCGTGGTTTGTAGTAAGAAAAGTTTTGCTGCTGTGTCTTTGAAATTGAATTGGTAATCGTATATAATTCATAACAATTGTTTCGGGAAAGCATTTTTCGTTGTATTGTTTTGTGAGAAACAACAAAAATGAGCTACGGAAGACCTCCTCCACGGATTGAGGGAATGGTTTCCTTGAAGGTTGATAATTTGACCTACCGAACAACGCCAGAGGATTTGCGTCGTGTTTTCGAGAGATGTGGCGAAGTAGGTGATATTTATATTCCGCGCGATAGATTTTCTCGAGAGAGCAGAGGATTTGCATTTGTGAGGTGAGTAGCATTAATAGACATGAGGTTTATCTGCCCTCGTATTGATGAATTAAGTTTTGCCCTTCGTAATGGCGGCCAGAGGCGTAGTATGGATTGCTTCGTCGTCATTCCAGAGACCACTAGGCCTAAACCACTAAATCGTCCGAAGAGCTACAACTTATAATGGTTGTTTGTTTGTAAATTTTGTGGAGGCTAATATGTTTTTTTAGTTGGAGTTTAATAAATATTGGTGTTTATTGATTCAATATACAAAGTGGGTTAACTTAGTGGCTAGTGTGGAATTATTTTAAGGTTTTAATTCAACACTTTATCTCTATGTTTCTATTAAAAGGTTTTATGACAAGCGCGATGCAGAAGATGCATTGGACGCAATGGATGGCCGACTTTTGGATGGAAGGGAGCTTCGAGTCCAAATGGCTCGATATGGAAGACCGTCGTCTCCATATCGCCGTCATAGCCGCAGAAGGAGGTGGGTTTATTACAACAGATGTGTGCTTCCCCCCCCTCCCCCAATAACGGCCAACTCCCATGTCTTAATAAAATTAGCTACAAATTCTTCCAGTTGTGCATCTATTTACTGCAGTTCATCCCACTTAATGTGGATCCTGCTGCACTGACTGTACTACTGGAAAACATGTTCCTTACAATGCAGAACAGCTGTTGCATGCTATCCGGTGGGTTGCAAGTTACTTAGAACTCCATCAGATAAGTTTCAGAGTATTCTGATTGTGAAAAACTGTGATTGATCGACATTTATATTCTCACAATTCACACCATGTAATTATTTCAACAAATTTATATTTCTACAGGTCTCGGTCTCGTTCTCGTCGTCGTTCTCGCACCAGGAGCCGCTCTAGGTCTCGTTCTCGCCATTCACGCTCAAGGTCTCGCCGCCGTTCATACACACGTTCTCGCAGCCGTTCCAGGTCACGCTCTGATAGCAAGAGCTCTCGTGGGAAATCTCATTCCCGCAGTAAATCACCACGTGAAAGCAAAAGCAAGTCACGATCCAAGTCGAAGTGAACAGGTAATTTAATTATGTAGGCACTGTGCCAGATCATGTTAAAATTGTTTTTTATATTTGCACCATGCACTGTGTAAGTATAATATTATTACAGGTATGATGGAATATGAGATTAATCATTTGATGAATCCCATCCATTAAGTGGTAGGTTGCAGAATATATTGGTTTGTATCTGTTATGAGAATAGTGTATTTGTTATTGAGAGCCCATCCTGTTAAGAGATGCATATGCTGTAGCATGGAGATAATACTGCAGATTTGATGTGTGCATTAAACTGAAATTTTCTTAATATTTAGCTATTCTAAATAGAGTGTGGTGTAGTGGAGTAAAAACATGTCTAGTAATTTTTGGTGTTTTAGATTTTAATTACATTTTTGCCATTGTGGACTTCTGACTTTTTCCAGGGTGATGGTGGCTAAGGGAGTGGTTTCAGCACTTATATTTAGTGGAATAAAGACGGAAGCAGACTTCTGCATTTTTGAAAGGTACTGATTAATCATAGTGTTGGGCAGAAGAATATTATATTGTACCTACCTAACTATTGGTTATATTCTGTGTTTATGATGTTGGATAACAGGATCATAAAATTTTGAGTGCTTATATAATTTTGTATGTATTAAGAATTCTAAACGAAGCAAGATAGTAGAATTGTCTGCCTCTCCTTGCCATTCAGATATGAATATGGATATTGTTGGAAAGTTCAAGTACTGTCTATGTAATTTAATTTGAGTAAACAGAATATTCCAATGTCTCCTCATTGTCATAATTGCAGTAAGTTCAATGTTTTTCCAAGTTTCACACAATTTTATTATGTATGGAGTGGTTTTATGTGGTTAATTTAAGCTAAAATGTTTATGAATTTTTTCTCTCACGCGGTTAAATGATGGACGATGATATGCATCAGAATAATTCTATGATTAGTTTTGAGTTCAAAACGGATAACTGTAGAATTCAAAACTTTGTAAAAAGTGAAGACTTTGTTTGTTGCATATTAATGGCCTTTGTACGTATATTTTGAATGCACAGGCACACATTTAAGATTGCCTTTGCTAGTACCTTAATGAGTCTTGATCCACAGTTTGACATGGTTCAGTTGAACATACTGTAAATCTTGTCTTACAAGTCAATAGGCAGATTTATCAGACATTTAGTTTTATTGGTTTTTGCTGAATGATCTAGGTCTAGGAAAGAAAGTCACATGCATTCAAATTGGTTGCTGTGGTTCTCTGACTAGATGTAGGATACAAATGTTTGTGGTCTAGTGAAGTACGGTATATAAGAAAATGGCAGGATTTATTATCAACATGCCAATTCAAGTGTCAAAGTAGATTTGCTTTCATTTTATCAGTAGTATCTTAAATGTTTAGAAGTTCCGCATTTTATGTTTCGTAACACTCAATATTGTTCCCATTCCTTAATTTTTCCTAGCTAACATTAAGATGATATAACAGTTTATTGTAATATGTAAGGGCATTTATGAAAGTATGTTATTACTTCGTGTCATTAAAAGAACCCTAGTGTATACTACAGGAATATGTAGGTATAAATTTGTGCATTGTGTTTGAATTTTTTACTTTTGTTTGAATACCATTAATAGTAAGGTTTGTAGATGTTTAAGACCTGAATAATTTAGGTTTAGCTTTGGTTTCTTTTGTGTAGTTATGACATTGTGTTATATAAAGATAATGTACTGTAATATGATGGCTTTACTTGCATTCCCAACATGTCAAGTAATGGATAATGTTCAAGGCTTAATTCCCTGCTTAGAACAGCATTTTGTGCCATGTAGGGAGGTTGTGAGATTGTTTCATGGCTTCCATTTGGGTTGGTATGTCTTGCATTGTGGCCCTAATTCATATGCAATGTTACATTCAGTACAGTTTGGTGAAGCTGATGTGACATGAAAACGGAAGTTTGTATTTGACTGCTCAAATCAGCAGAAGTAATAGACTGACTTGGTGGTGAAATTTGCCATGGATTTGGTCTAATTTTATGTTGGAATAACCATATGTTCTTATAAAAAGGCGCCATTTTTCTGTGCCTTGAATATGGTATAAACAACATATTTACATTGGTCGGTCTATAGAAATGTTACAAATATAACAACTGTATTAACTGTATTAGAACCTATAATGGTATTTAGTTTCCATGGTATGCTGGGAATTGAGCCTTCGTGCTCAAGCAACCTTAGCTCGATGGCTAACCCTGTTTTTCCAATACCGCAGGGTGGGCGGTAGTGATCGAGCGAGAGGCAGTGGCAGATTGCTGTGTTGGGGTTCGGTGTTGCGGTGGCAGAGTAGCAGTGCAGTTGCGGGGCACATGGCAGTCAGGGGTAGCGAGAGCAGTTGCGGGTAGCTGATGGCAGTGCGTGCCGACGTGTGTGTGTGTGGTGGTGGCGAGTATCATTCATTCCCACCGAACCAGTACCAATTTTAACTATGAGCATCCATGTTTCCCTGTTGATGTTCCCAGTTTCGGTCTTGAAACGTGCCGTAATGTTCCTTATTTATACCAGCCTGCGTCTCCAGTCAACTGGTACGTTGGTGCTTTCAGAGAGGACCCCCCCCCCATTAAACATCGCAAATTGCACCTATTTTATGTGGCTCATTTCACTACTTTATAAAGTTTTCCCTTCTGTTACATATTCTTTGGGATTTGGTTGACCCTTCTGTTTTATTTATTAAATCTTAACATTTTAGGCCCTCTGTTTCCTGGCGTAGTAAACCGTTAATTCGTTTGAAGGCAATGAGTCCCTGGGGCCCCTTGCATTTTTCATTTTTCGTCTGCAAGTAAACCAAACCACCTTTATTCGTCAGTAAGCCATTCTTGATTTTATTCCCTGCTTTTGTCTTTGCATGGATATAATTTTGGCTGCCACCATCCCTAATATGTCGGAATATTTTACTGTTGAAGAGTTGCATCTCCGAGCTGCTGATTGCAGTCCATAAGCAGAAGGTAGGATAGGTGTCGTCACTGATCAGCGCATCTACTAATACTGCATTCGTGTACTGTTATACTCTTGTGGGAGCTGGTAAATATGTTTTCTGTAAAGTGGAAATTACCAAATTGCAATATGCTTACAGTTTTCTTCTCAGTCGTACAAAGTGCAGGTAAGTGGGTGATTGGAGTATGACATTGTTTTAAATTGCTTTACTTATGTTTATATTTTTCTAATTGCAGTTGATGTTTATTACTTCTGGCCTTGTGTAGTGAGGATGCCAAACTGGCAGATGTAATGACACCTGGCTCCAACTCATTCACTAAGGACAGAATTATTGTGTGCAGCGATTGCCATTAGCAAGTGTATAAGCTCCAATCCAGGTGGAGACATGAAAACATTTCTTGCTCTCCCCTTTGGTTGTAATGCAAAGCTGTAGTGAGCTTCCCATTTGTCCTATGTGTTATTACTTTTTACAGAGAAAAAGTATTTGTAAGTTCATATAATGATTTCAAGGTATAATTTGGCTTACAGTTTGAACATGCGCATAGAGTTGTCCCTAAAGGTTGATCATCGCTATTAAAATTGTATTGGCAGTCTTTTTCAAGGGTGAATGTAAGTTACATTGCTTGTTTATATTATGTGTAGTTTAGCCCAGGCATATATATACATATACCACTTTAAATTGGCTTGTGTTTTGTTTAACTTTTGAAATCTCTTAACCTTGCATGTTGTGCAGTGTTGAATATTGTTTATCTTTGAAAAACACTTGGTGACTTTTTTCTCTCTTTTTCTTCTTCCAAAATCAATCACATATATTTTGATTCAGCAAAATACATTAAAAAGAACAAAGACCGACTTACATAACATTCTTAAAATTTGGCTGAAGGAACCTTCACACTCCTTTGACTTTCAAAGTTCAGCATTGCTATTTCTTATTTAATCATACATCACAATGCTTTTGTAGTAAATATCTATGAAGGAACATCCCACTAATTGTATATGTCCAATATATCCTCATATTTCTGAAGCCCTTTTCAATATGTAACTAAAAATTTTTTACCTTGTGTAATCAGCAAGTGCTGCTTTGTCAAGAACTGGCATCTGAATCAAATCAAACTTTCTTTATTTTGATGATGGGTCATGTTTAGTTATACAGGCTGCTGCTCTCATTCACTGTGGTACAGTGTTCACACATTTTAATATAGCTTCAGTAATTTTACCCCTTTTGGAAAACTGCAAATTTGTACTTTAATTATACTGCATCCTAGCACAACTAGACTGTAATCTTCAAGTGTGAAGATCACCAAAATGTGACATCTATTCATGCCAGACATGCATGAATTTTTGCACATGACCAAGAGGCACACGTACGTACACTTAGCCTCTCACTACTTTCATCATATTCATAAATTGTTTCTGAAAGATCAGTGCTCGGAACATGGTAAAGTAAATCAGCACAAAATCATTCATTATGATGGTGAACAGGTTCCTGAAATGCCTCTGATTCACAGTATACCGGAAGGGCTTGTACATTAAGAGTGTTTTGAAATGGTTGACACATTCACTGCTTTCCTGAAAATCCACCATTCTTTCAAAAGGTTCTACATTTTGAACAGTGCTGGTTTTATCTGCATAAGCTGCTGAATTTATAAGATGTTCAAATTCCACTGGCTGAGTGTTACTGTCCTGACTACAATGTGCCAAATCACTCATTTCTGCTCTAGTAATGTGGATGCAAAATGTATAGCACAGTATGACTCAATATCTATCAACTAGGTGTTTTTCAAAGTGGTGTTTGCATAACTATATAAAGTGTAAACAGTTTTCATGTATGCATGTTTTTATATATTTCAGATAACCCAGGAAAGTGTTCTCTGACTTTGAACTATATGTAGTATTAGTAAAGCTTCTCACAAACATCAGAGCAATTGTGTTGAAAGAAGCATTAGACAGTCTTTTCTTTGAGTATTCTTGACCTTTTTTAGATGGGAATAAGGAATTCAATTTGTTCTGTGACATGCAACAGTTCTGGTTTGTTACATTGCACAATGCTGAGAAAGTTTCAAAGTATACCTGGACCTATACTGATCTATATTTATTAAACTGACCATAGGCCAAACGCTGGTGTGTAACTTTTCATTTGCCAAAGCTGGTAAAATGGGTACAGATCATTTATCACTTGCTAAATATTTGATTTGAAATAATCATTGATGTATACAGACAGAGGATGTTGCACTGTGTATACTTGCAGCAGCTGATCATCGGAAGGTGGATGAAGCGTTTTGTGGGCCCAAGACCACGACAAGGTTTTTATGGTATGAGTTGCATTGCTTTGCTGCCAGAATTATGGCACAATGGAGGTTTATCTCATTAAATTTGTAATTTATTTCCTGTGGGTTAGAGAACAATGTGAAAATTGCAACAAAAGTTTATTTACTCCGAGTTGTGGAAGGGTGCAGCTTTGAAAACATTGATACTTGGTGTACCTGCATTTTTGTGTTCAATCTTGGTCATAGAAAGTTTTTCTGTATTGCTAGAATAAATTTACATTTTTATTTTAATCAAATGTATGATGTCAGGGTACGTAAACATCAAGAAGCTAAGTAGGATTTGAGGTTTTCACATTACAACCCAGAAGATTGCAATTATCAAGAACCTACATTCCAAGAACTTCCGACTAGTGTTTTTTTGTTACCATTTTTAGTAAATAAAATTTAATTTGCTAGGAAATTACTTTTAATGCACAATATGTTAGTACCTGTCCACTGTTCCGATTCTCCATGGATGTGTATGTGATAGTTTAAATTTGTGTCAGTTTCAAAATTAGTCTCCATCCTGGTACCAGCTTTGTAGACCCATGAGGTGGGGGAAGCATAACAAGGGTAATGCCTGCTAGTGACTTGGTTTATGGTCATCGTGAACAGTGACCTTTGACCTCAGGTAAATGATTAATCTGACATCAAGATGAAGTATTACAAGGACATCTCAAAATTGACGGCTGTGTGAACACTGAAAAATTGATTAAGAAAATTGATAATTGTCAGAAAAGAGTTAATACAATTTGGAAAACAGCATATTACCAAATGATGGTTTATGTGTAAGGTTACTGAACTTATTTAATGTTTATAAAGTGGGAACATTCATCTGAAACTGGCCAAAAATTATGTTTCCAGTGATTTATGTTTGAGGTATGAGAGAATGTAAATTCTTGGTTTGTCTCATTAAAATTGAAGTGCAAAGGAAAAGGACTAGTTTGAAAAATTTAACAGGTTTCAAAAGCAATTTAAGTAAAATTGAAACCAATGCAATAATGTCATTCTGCCTTTAATACATCATCAATGAAAGTGTATCCTGCTTTGTAGAAACTTTTTGAAATGCTTGTTTTTCCACTGTTTTCTTTATTATTGTAACAGGAAAAGTAGAGCTACAGTCTTCGTGGCCGTGGAAATGTTCGTTTTCTTCCCATTTGAAAAGACGTGACTGAATATTCTAACATCTTCACAACTAAATGTATTTGTGGTGTAATGCTGGAAAACACATTGAATTAACTGCATTTTCAGTTGCATACATGATTACGTCAAGGAAATGCCATAAAATTCATTGCACTGATCATCTGTTTAATAAAATTGCATATGAAAGACTAAATTGGACAATAGGGATGTATGTAGACTTTATCTGAAAGTGTGGTCTTTCAGAAAATCTGGAAACAGATGGATCTGAGGACATATGGGTTGCATGGAGCAGACTGGATACATTTGGCTTAGCATACGAATGCCTCTGCACCACTGAAAAATTAAGGCAGTGCTAATCTAGAGTGAGAAATCTTGTTTTGAAATATAGCAAGTATACTGCCCTAACTTGACTGGAAATTCAGAGATAAAAGATATTCAATATCACTTCATTAGGTAGTGAAGATACTTTTATACATTGTGTATTATCTAATGATTACACCATGTTACCAGATTTGTTTAAATAATACATTCCATATGTACATGGTTAAACATTTTTAAAACAAAAGTAAACATATTAATAAACAGCTGACTGAACTACAGAAATTTGAGTACCTGCTAACAAATTCATGAACAGGAAGCATATTTTGATCCCAATCTTTAAGTAAAAAAAATTAATCTTAAAAAAATCCAAAACAAATCTTGACATCAACAAAACCAATTCTGAGCTGCTGAGTATGTAGAATCTCAAAACTCTTTGTCGGGATCATGTTGTCTTTTTCCCGAGAGCTTTTTGGACTTGTGCAGTTTTTGTTTGCTTCGCTGCTTCTTTTACTGAAAAATCAATACATTTTACTGTAAATATATGACAACAGCAATGCTTACTCTAATTTGAATAATGTTGCTAAAATTCACATACATTTCTTTTCTTCCTCACGCCGTTTGGCAGCGTCAGCTCTCTGCTGCTTGATTATGGCTAAACGGGCTAAATCAGCACGGGCTTCTTCCGTCTTCCCTTCAGCATGCAGCCGTTGATAGTTTGCTTGAGCTCTTTGACGATCCAGCTCTTCCCTGAAAGACGTACAAACTGAATGTTACTTTAATCCTGGAAACTACAAGATTCTGTAAATAACAAAAACTGAAGGCAACACAGTTGCGGTACAATCAATGACAATAAAGAGAGACCATCAACATCTGTTGGAGGGGGATCAATGTTAATATAGGGCATGGCTGGATTTATACTTGTGGGGGTTTCCATCAGTAACAAATTTAGGTTATGTAGCAATTACTTATAAATTAATTTTTGATAAGTATCATGATTGGTTTCTGGTGGCATTTACCTGGACACTTTGCCATAAAAAAATTTGATTTTCTGGATACCCTGAGATGACTGCCAATTTAAACGTGTAATAAAATGTTGATTTTAATAATTATACTTCACTTATGTTAAACATATAATTTGGTTCACAAGTTGGCATGATGGTCATACAAACAGAGACTAGTACATAATAAATGATTTCATTTAAATGTTTTATGTTAGTATTTTATTAATATACCTTTCTGGGAAGAACTTATTAGTTAAGTGCATATTTTCTTTATGTTGATATTTTCCGGATTGTAATGTGGTGAGATGTATAACTATTGATTTGTCCACATAGCACTACAACCCAGAAGACCAACAATGATGCTTTCACTGTCATGAGAACCTCAACTCATACAAAACCGGTGAATATAATGCACAGCCTACTTTTCACAATTTCACTATCTTTCACTGTGCCACCATTAAACAAACTCAGAAAATGAAAATGGAGGAAAGCCACAAAGCTAGAATTATGAACTGCAGTTATGTGTCAATTCTATATTCAAGAGGTGGGGGTGATGGATGTGAAATTTCTCACCTTTCTCTACGTGACAGTTCAGGTTTTGAGGCCACTTTAACATTTTCATTAAGAGTAGACAATTTCTTTGCCTTCTTCTGTACTCTATTAGGATTTTCCACATGAATTAGATTCTCAACTCCTTTGGCTTTCACCTGTCAACATAATAGATTGGAAAAAAGGGCACATTAGTATGCAAATAATTGTACAGTTGTAATGTAATGTATAAACATGATGATTCACCATTATGTTATAAATGATCTGAGAAATGTAAAATGCCATGTACCGTCTCCTCTTCACTCTCTTCTTCAGAAGTTTCAGATTCAGAGACTGTATCACTTTTCCCTTTTGCTTCATCCTCACTAGAACTGGCATCACCCCTCTCTTCCTATGGAAAAAAAAATGAGAATATGAGTATGGTTTTAATGCCATAATGGTAATTCCAGAAACTGTGTACATGTTTCTTACCCTCCATTTTCTTTCTTTTTCCTTTCTTTTCATTTGTTCCTCAATCTCCTCTGGATTGGTGAATTGCCTGTGCTTGCCTTTATGATTGGTGTACTTTCCTTTGTTGAAACAAAGAAATTTATAAAAATATCAGTTATACAAGATAACGGTTAGCTGTGATACAATCATATGCCTGCACGTTAAATTTTCTTGCAATAAATGTGGCTTTTCAGACCTAAGCAGTGATGAAAGTTCTTCCTGCCTCTGGATAAAGTTTCTAAAGCACACTGCAAATGCTCATTATTACATTACCAAGGCTACTGAAACATCACTGTTCTCTAAATAATATCACCTACTTACCTCTAGGCATTATAACACTATGTTATCACAAATTATGCGTAAACTATAAAATCCCGAACTAAAAATATTTAGCAGACAAAGCAAACCACTATTTCATACAACCAGCGTCAACAGTCAGCTGTGGCCTACAACCATACACAATACCACCACCAAAAACTGCTCAATAGCACTGCTGGCGGTCGCACACTGGAAGTACTACCAACATTATACTGTGGTTAGTAATAGTAGAATTGCTGACAATTGCAAAGCCAAGGTTTTTTTAATTAATGCTATAAACACAGAGAATATTGCATTTTTCACAGAAACAGCTCGTGAGAAGCAACTACGACTCTCTTCATTATTTCATTCTGATTTAATAAATTTGTGTATGAAATTTTGTTCAATACCGAACTGTTGGCTGACAGTAATGCTGTGAAGTTGGTATTATTTGTGGTGATGATGTTGGAAGAGGACAGGATCTGGTGGAGGACTTTGGTTAATTCGGTGATGAACCTTCGGGTTCGGTAAGCCATCTAGTTAGTTAGGGTGTTTTGACGAATGGTGAGAGGCAGAATTTTACATTTACATTGACTTTCAAAACAATAATGATTTTATGCTTCAATTAGTAATCTCAGAGGGATATTTATTACTAATAGTAAGGAAGAAGTAGAACTTTAAATTTTCAAGATTGGCACTTACTTGTACTACTCTGCGTTTGTGGTTCGTTAGTTTGCTTGTCTTTGCGTGGAAATTAATTTGTTAAATTATATAATTTTATCTTCCAACATTATGCCTAAAGTCAGAAGAAGCAAGAAATCACCACCTGAAGGGTGGGAACTCATTGAACCAACATTAGAAGAACTGGAGCAAAAAATGCGAGAAGGTAAGATAAAAATCATAACCTCACCCAACTTGATTAATCTGAGACATTGAAGTATGAGTTATCATCTCTCATTTTACTTTATGATAATTTATAAACTATTTATTTACAGCCGAAACAGAACCTCATGAAGGAAAGAGAAAAGTAGAAGCATTGTGGCCAATTTTTAAGATCCACCACCAGAAATCGCGTTATATTTATGACTTATTTTACCGCAGGAAAGCTATCAGCAGAGGTGAGTTGCATGCTTTGTATTGTGTATGAGTATTATAGAGTGGCATTTGGGGATTGTAAGGTATATATGACTAAGCTGGGCCTGTTCCATTTAACCTGTACCACATTTTCATCTTATTAAAAATTATCATTTGACGCAGGTTAAATAACTTTCAATCAGTTTACTCAGATAATACCTTAAAAACTTGTGGCAGCCACTTTTATGTCTTTACCCAACCATCATTAGATTAACTTATATGCATTCAAACATTCCATTTAATCAGAATATGAAACAAGTCAGTCCACACACACAAACACACATATATATATATTTAAACCAGACACACATTGAACTAGTTTAAGATATGTTTAACAATGCAAGTCCAAAGCTGGTTGGCTGGCTGTCTTCTTACAGGCAATTGAAAAGGCACCATAAAATAAGCCAAGTGGATATATATATATATATATATATTTTCTTTTTTGCAATGTGAATTTTAAGTGTCATAGTGGTTTACAGATGTATTATAAATCCATGTTGTGGTGTATGCTTAGCTGAAAATGATGGAATGTAATATTAAAATAAATTGGTAATGTTATACCTGTGGTAGCTCATCAAAATTACAACAGTAATAATATGTTTTAAGATTGATGTTTGTTTTACTTTACTTGTGACACAGTATTTCTGATTGCAGGCCTTGGAATTAAAAGTATAAATAATTTGATTCTCCATTATTATTGTTAAGTAATGTGTTAGGAAATGTTTAATTTATTTCTTATTGCAGAATTGTATGAATACTGTTTGCGAGAGAACATAGCAGATAAGAACCTAATTGCAAAATGGAAGAAACAAGGTTATGAAAATCTGTGCTGTCTTCGATGCATCCAAACCAGAGACACAAATTTTGGTACCAATTGCATATGTCGGGTTCCAAAAGGGAAACTTGAGGAAGTAAGTTTTTGAAATAGCTTGTTCTTTTAATTTGGTAAGTGTTTTAGAAATTGAATCTCCTTAACATGAAGTGATGATGCCAGGTTTAGCTAACTGCTGTACAGCAAACTGTGGGGTGTAGTCAGATTGTTATTTTTTTTTTTTTACCATGACATTTGATTCAATAGCAAAGTATTTATTGAACATATAATACACTTTATGTTATGTTGTGATAACAGAAATATCAACAAATCTTAATTATGTAAGAACTCAGTTTTAATGTGCTGAAATATTTTCTGTTATATTACTTCTGCTCTATAGAGGCATTTACTGCAATTGAACATTATTAAGTTCTGTAGACATATATGTAAGTAACTATAATAAGTATGCACTTATAGATTTGTTTTCTGTTGTATTAAGTGTTCATATTTATATTATGACATGTTTCACATATACTATGATGGCTATGTGGAATGCACATAAATTGTAATTTTACGATTATGTGTGTGTGCAGGTTCAAGTGTGTGTGTTTGTTTATTTGTGTGTATATATATTAGTTTAATTTTTATGCATATTGTTAAAAGTTTTGATGCATAAAAGTTATAAAATTCAAATTTTGTTGAAGAACGGGATCCAAAAGTTTTGAATTTGTTAACATAAGCCATTGTTGCATTTCCCTATGAACAGTCATTCTAAGTCTTGACTAGAGGCATTTTATATTCCAGCCTATGTCAAATTACGTTAGAAACGTTTGTTCTTATACTGAAAACACAGAAATTCCGCTAGTTTCTATAAATATCTTACTTTTGATTTACAACCACAAAAGGAGTATTTCTAAAAACTTTTGTCCAGTCACTGGGAATGTCAGTAGGATACTTTTTATTATAAGGCCTGCTCTCCTTAACAGCTGCATAATATGTGATTGACTGCAGGAGATATTTGTGTTTGGACTGAGCATTCCCAACATTTAAACACCTGTTTTGATCTTAAACTCACTGTAATGGGTACAGCTGAGTGTGGTATTTTTAAACTCTGTACTGTTATTTTTGTTATTTGTGTTATTTGTGTGCTGCAGTACTAGAGAGCTTTACTAAAAACCATAACAAATTGTGTACTGAAAGGAAACTTCTGTCTGTGAATGTGAAATTTGCTATTTTCAGGGTCGCATTGTGGAATGCATTCACTGTGGATGCAGGGGCTGCTCAGGATAATGACAATATATTAGGAACATCTGTGAATAATACATTCTGTAATTGGTGATAAAAGTGGCAGTATATGTATGTAATGGATTCCAGGGCAATACTTGTAAGTAATGATGAAATGAGTTTTGATACAGTGTGAATGTATGGTGGAGAGTTTTAGCTGTAAGGTATGGTATAAGTTGATGCCCATGAGATGGGAGAAGAAATATTCTGTATTGTACAGAGAGTCCCATGTAACTCGAAACCCACATATTTGCTTGCGACTGCTACGTTCTGCATTGATACTAGTCTTCCAGTAGTTCACATGCTGCTGTGGCTGTGGCTTGCTCTTGTGGATGTTGCCATGTTAAGTGGGACACTCTATAGTAACAGGGCTCATTATGAATTATTTTTGTAAACAGAACGGAAGAGGTGTTATAAAAGAGTGTGTATAACTGTATTTATATATGTATTTTCTTCCTGTTGTGCATGTGTGTCCACAGATTACTTTCCTTTGATATTTATTCTCCTACAGTTATTATTTATTTATTGTTGGTTCTTGAACAATTTAATGTTTTTACCCCATTTTTTTTAGTTCCATGAAATACAGGAAAGTATCTCCATATTACAAGTTTTCATGGAATATAGGTATGAAAATAATGCTATACATAATAGGAAGTCATTCATTATTGAGAATTAATGATGCCAATATGGTGGTAACCTGAAGTTCAGTGAGGGGAATGATGCAAGCACAATTTTATGTTCTGAAATTTTGTGTTTTAGACATCTGTGAAGAATATGCCATTTTTATTGAAGTCAGTTCTCTTGTACAAGCTAGATTTGGATTATAAGCATGGTGAGGGCATCATGCCAGAAGTGTGTGTCAGCATATTTGCATAATTGGATATATTTTGTCTAACAACATAAAGTAGTGGTTTGCATGTCATGCCAGAAGGGCATAATGCTGATTGTGCTCTACACAGAGATACATATGAGCTTATGGATACTAATAATGTACATTTGTCAAACCAGAAGGGGGAGGAATTCAGTCTTCCATAAGTAGGATTTGAGGTATTTTTGGAGGTTTAGTGATAAGATACGTGAATAAAGCACTTCTTCTACCATCAATCCCTAATAATGTACTCTGCAGTGTTTATTTTTATTTTTGTTCATGGAAGAGGAAAATGCCTTGTTCTGTGTTTGTGCTTGTTGTGTCTGCCTTGAATATACATCTGCAAAGGAGATAGCACAGCAAGTTTTAGTTCTTTCTGTATTCTCTGCAACTTTCTAATGTGATGATAGAGGCAGTAAACACATCTGAAACGCCGGACGGTTTGTACCAGACTACACGCCACAATGACCAGAAGACAAGTCACCTTAAAATCTGTAAAATTTACTATTCAAGAGATATTGGTTTGAGGGGGGGTTGGTGATGTGATTGGCGACCGAGCTCCGGGTGTTATTTTGGACAAATCGATTGTTCCACTGTAGTTGCTCACAGATGGCAGCACAATACGTGCTTGAGGGCAGCCAACTTATAACATCGAATTTAAGATCTGTTTGTTGGTATGTTGGTTTAGCGACATCTAGATAGAAGAAAGGAAAATGGAGCTGTTCCGGTTAATGATGTAGCGAGAAAATAGGGTTAATTTGTAGTGAAATAGCGGACACGATGCAGAAGAGGTATGAGTTGCTGTAAAATTGTTCATTTGTGTGTGGCCGTTATTTTACCACTAATCAGGGTATAACATTTACTTCTATTTGCACCAGGTTAGAGTTCTAAATAAGTCGGTTCATAGTTGGGTATGTTGATTGTAATTAATAATAATAAATATATATAGGACAGCAATATTTGTGTATGTTGAAATGTAATATTTGTAGAAATATATTTTACAAGGTGAATTGGTGATACATGTTGGAAAGAATCTTTATAGGGCGAAAAAAACGTTCATTGCTATTATTAAGATTTCCTGGATACTGGGTGATATATGAAGTAAGATTTTTATATTGCTCCCGTTACGAATTTGGGGGACTTTAAAATGCAAAGGACACATGTGAGCACGTTCTAGCGAGGGTCCAGAGAATTGTAAATTTTGCTTAGTTGTTTCATGCTGTCCATGGCAACCTGACGTTGCTTCGTCAGCACTTTGCCCAAACTCTGAATTTTAATTAGGGAAGTACAGCGGTCTGTGTTTGCAGCTGATGACATACCTTTGTCTAGTGTCACATAAAAATACATGACTCAGCAGACAACTTCAGACTGTTTGAAGTTGTTATATTATAATTTTTGTTATAATTTTTTATTATACATTTATTTTTTGTAAGGAATTATGCTAATTAGATTAATCTACTCTTGCATTAATTTGTACAGGTTATTAGCTTAATCGAGCTTTGAGACTATAATGAATGGCAAAAGAAAAGTGTTATGTATGTCTGTAGCTGGTCCAAAAGCTGATTTGTGTGTTAAATAAGCATATATAACTTTTAATTATGAAATTTGGATCTTTTTTCTCAAGTTGTATTCTTTCAATTTTAGGTGTACTGTTACAAGTGTGATGTAAGTATGATCCAGATGGATAAAACTGGTGAGAAAGAAGAGACATGTCGTGACAGTGAGAAGAAAGTTATCACTGAAGGCAAGGCAGAGGTGCTGATTTATTCATCCAAAAACGTATTTTACAACCCTGTTCAAGAATTTAATAGGGATTTAAGGTATGTGTAGAAGAATTCTATTCTGATATCAGTTTTTATACAAGGAATCAATGATTGTTGATGATATTGGTTTTACTTGCATTCATCTATGTGTGTCAGTTTGTAAGTTGGAAGGGGGGTCACATCTGATGTATTTTTGGTTTGTAAAGTATTGCAGTTCTGACATTATGTGCACAAGACCATTACCAAACATTGCGGGAGAGAAACATGAAGAAAAATGAAAAATCACTAGAAGATGGTTCTTCAGATGTTCCAGTAGAGAAGTTGACAGCTGGGATAAAATACGAGGTACAGTAGAAACTTCAGCCCTCTGCTAGTAAGAGTGAGAGCAATGGAGCAGTACATAAGAATATCAGAATCCTGATTTAGAAAGGCAGAAGTTAGTTGGAATTGATAAGGTATTCAAGTATGCGCCATGAAGGTGTAGAGAGGGAGTGGAGGTAAAATTACTTACATTCTTCAAATAAAAAGTTTTTTGGATGTTATCCATCGTCTAATAAAATGATAAAATTGAACGACGTTTCGGAGATGGGACTCTATCAGCCATCTTCAGGTAACCTGCTCTGTTGGGCCCAATCGATAGAGCTAATCCCTATCTCTGGACAAAGCAAACTGGGATTAGCTCTATCGATTGGTCCCAACAGAGCAAGTTACCTGACGACAGAGATAGAGTCCCATCTCCGAAAGATTGTTCAATTTTATTATTTTGTTAATGATGGATGACATCCAAAAAAACTTTTTATTTAAATAACCACCATCCTCACAAACTTTTAGATTTGAGATACTTACATTCTTCACTTCTGCACTAATGGATGTGAGTGGTTAGCTTCTACTTTGCATTTTGTATCATATTGATCTAAAGGGGCAACTTCGGTTGTCCGAAGTACTTATACTGCTGCTGGGTTCATTGTGCGCCCCAGATCTTGTTAGTTCTTCAGAGATCCTTGACCACACTGCCAAGGCTGCAACTAACCTAATCAAGGCCCTCCTATTATCTGTCAGCCCCAGCCATGCACAACGAAAGACTTCTGATATGTGCTCGGCATTGACAGAGTATTTTCTTCTGTTTATATTTCCTGTACTTGGCTCTTTCTGAGAGGTTCTTGATAGTGCGTGTTTTGTGGAACATTTATTTGATTTCAGGAAGGTCTGACAATTTTGGAGGCGTTATCAGCATCTGGTCTCCGCAGCATCAGATATGCGAAGGAAGTGCCAGGAGTGAGGGAAATTGTAGCCAATGATATTTCAGCACAAGCGGCTTCCAGCATTCGAGATAATGTTGTACACAATGGGGTGGACCACCTTGTCACAACTAGCCATGATGATGCTGTGTGAGTTTCATTGTATTATACTATTTTCCCTGTACATATTGCAGCTTTCTTGAGAAACCAAATGTAAAAGTATCTCATTAGTGGCCTTAGATCTTAAAGGTTTAGAACTGTTGTTCTAGACGTTGACACTAGATGGAGAAAAGTGGTGAAGTGATACAGTGATCACACTGCGAACATGTTGATGTACTGTGTTTACAGGTTGGTGATGTACAAGCACAGGCG